TTCTGTACCCTGCAAAATTATCCTTCAAAAGTAAAGAAAGACTTTCTCAAACAAAAACTAAGAGAATTTATTACTATTGCAAGTAAACCTGCCTTGGCTAGGCAGAAAAGGAAAATACAGGTCAGAATCACAGATATACTTTTTTTTTTAGATAGGGTCTTGCTCTGTCGCCCAGGCCGGAGTACAGTGGCACAATCTTAGCTCACTGTGACCTCTGCCTCCCAGGTTCGAGCGATTCGCATACCTCAGCCTCCCAAGTAGCTAAGACTACAGGCGTGCACCACCACACCTGGCTAATTTTTGTATATGTAGTAGAGACGGGTTTCGCCACATTGGCCAGGCTGGTCTTTTCCTGACCTCAAGTGATCCACCTGCCTCAACCTCCCAAAGTCCTGGGATTACAGGCATGATCCACCATGTCAGACCACGAATATACATTTACAAAATTGAGAACATCAAAGAAAGAATAAGTGAAAGTAAGATCAAAGCTTTTTTCTTATCTTTTTTTCTTGAGACAGTCTTGTTCTGTTGCCCAATCTGGAGTACACTGGCACAGCAGCCTCAAATTCCTACACTCAAGTGATCCTCCCACCTCAGCCTCCCAAGTAGCTGGGGCTACAGGTGCACACTAGCATACCTAGCTTTTTTTTTTTTTTTTTTTTGTAGAGGCAAGGTCTCTATGTTGCCCAGGCTGGTCTCAAACTCCTGGCTTCAGGTGAGCCTCCTGCCCTCAGTCTCCCAAAGTGCCGGGATTAAAGGCATCACCCACCATGCCCAGATATTTTTCTTATTCCTACTTGACCTAGTCTGTTCAAAATAATAATAGTGGCGCCGGGCGCGGTGGCTCAAGCCTGTAATCCCAGCACTTTGGGAGGCCGAGGCAGGTGGATCACGAGGTCGAGAGATCGAGACCAACCTGGTCAACATGGTGAAACCCCGTCTCTACTAAAAATACAAAAAATTAGCTGGGCATGGTGGCGCGTGCCTGTAATCCCAGCTACTCAGGAGGCTGAGGCAGGAGAATTGCCTGAACCCAGGAGGTGGAGGTTGCGGTGAGCCGAGATTGCGCCATTGCACTCCAGCCTGGGTAACAAGAGCAAAACTCCGTCTCAAAATAATAATAATAATAATAATAATAACAGTGGCTGGGCATAGTGGCTCACCCCTGTAATCCCAGCACTTTGGGAGGCCAAGGCAGGCAGATTACCTGAGGTCAGGAGTTTGAGACCAGTGGCCAACATAATGAAACTCTGTCTCTACTAAAAATACAAAAATTAGCCAGGCATGGTGGCACACACCTATAGTCCCAGCTACTCAGGAGGCTGAGGCAGGAGAATCGCTTGAACTCAAGAGATGGAGGTTGCAATTAGCTGAGATCACACCACTGCTCTCCAGCCTGGGCAACAGACCAAGACTCCATCTCAAAAAAAAGCAATAGTAACAATGTATTCAATTACATACGGTATGTATTCTTACATATAAGTTAAATGAATATCAGCAATGTTATTAGGAATATACTCCTCCTGAAGGGAGGAAGAAATATTATTTAATTATTAAAAATTACTACCTGTGAAGCAGAAGTGTTATTTGAAACTGGGCTTGAATTAACTGTAAATGTATAATACGACCTCTAGGTCAACCACAAAAAGCAACACCAACAACAAAAATAACTAACATGCTAACCTAGGAGAGAAAAATGGTGGAATCATATGAAATGCTCAATTAAAACCACAGAAGGGCTGGGCACAGGGGCCCATGTCTGCAATCCCAGCACTTTGGAAGGCCAAAAGTGGGAGGGTTACTTCAGCCCAGAAGTTCTAGAGCAGCCTGGGCAACATGGTAAGACCCTGTCTCAACAAAAAATTTAAAAATTAGCTTAGTGTGGTGGCATGCACCTGTAAGTCCCAGTTACTTGGGAGGCTGAAGTGGGAGGATCACTTGAGCCCAGGAGGTCAAGGCTGCAGTGAGCCACGATTGCACCAATGCACTCCAGCCTGGGCAACAAGGCGAGGCTCTATCTTCAAAAAAAAAAAAAAAGGAAATAAATGAAGAAAGATATACCATATAATTTAGGAATAAAGATCTTCCTCAGCTTGTGGCTCACACCTGGAATCTCCTGAAACTAAGTGATTATACCAGGGTTGCAGGATACAAAGTTAATATATAAAAGTCAATCCCTTTCCTGTACACAGGTGTAAGTTGAATTGAAATAAAAAACACAATATCATTTACAGTAACACCCACAAAAATGAAATACTTAGGTATAAGTCTAATAAAATATCTGATGATACGAAATAAAATCTATATGAGAAAAACTACCAAACACTGCTTAATGAAAACTAAGAACTAGATAGCGAGATATGACATGTTCACAGACAGGAAGACTCAATATTCAAGACTTCAGCTCTTCCCAACTTGATCTACAGATTCAATGCAGTATCAATTAGAATCCCAGCAAATTATTTTGTTGAAGTTGATGAAGCGATTACAAAGTTTAGACAGACAAAAGACTTACATTAGCTAACAGGATACTGAAGCAGAAGGATAAAGTTGGGGGAATTAAACTGACTTCAAGACTTATAGGCTGGGCATGTTGGCTCATGCCTGTAATCCCAACAATGCTTTGGGAGGCCAAGAACGGAGAAGTGCTTGAGGCCAAGAGATGGAGACCAGTCAGGGCAACATAGTGAGACCCTGTCTGTACAAAAAAAGATTTTAATTAGCCAGATGTAGTGGCACGTGTCTGTCATCCCAGCTACTCAGGAGGTTGAGGTGGGAGGATCCCTTGAGGCCAGGACTTTGAGGCTGCAGTGAGCTGCGACTGTTATACTGTACTCCAACCTGGGTAACAGAATGAGACACTGCCTTGAAAAAAAAACCAAAAGACATTATAGAGACCAGCCTGGGCAACATGGCAAAAGCCCATTGCTACAAAATATACAAAAATTAGCTAGACAGGGTGGCATGTGCCTGTAATCCCAGCTACTCAGGAGGCTGAGATTGGAGAATCGCTTGAACCGGGAGGCAGAGGCTGCAGTGAGCCAAGATCGTGCTAGTGCACTCCATCTCAGCCTGGGTGACAGAGCAAGACTCCATCTCCAAAAAAAAAAAAAAAAAGACTCTTATAAAGCTACAAAAATCAAGACAGTGTGGCAGTGTTGTATTAGTGAAAGAACAAATAGAGCAATGGAATTAAACAGAGAGCCCAGAAATAGACCCATATAAATACACTCAACTGATCTCTGACAAAGGAACAAACTCAAAGGGGGAAAAAAATCCACTCCTAACTTTCATTTCTTTAGCACAACAGCCTTTCTTCACCGTCTGTCCTTTCCTTTCATTAACCTGAGTACTCACCTAGGTCCTCTTAAGGATTCTAGCTGGTCACACTCTGAGCTTCCATGAATATAATAAGGTATCTTTATATATTTCCAGTTTAGACCTCCCATGTGAGTTACAGGCTAAAATACAGGCATTGGATATTCAACACCCGCCAAAGTCTTTCCCAGTTTCCTCTTCTAACAGCATTGCTAGTCTCCGGGGCAACGTCGTCACCACCACTCACCTGCAAGAGACTGGGCAATCAAATCACTTGTAAAGTCTCCCCTCTGGTTCACTCCATCAATCATTCATAAAGTCCAGATGATCCACTGGGCCGCCCCTTACCTCTTGGACCCTGGAGCTCCGCTCCTAGCCTCTTTCACATGTAATTGTGTCCATGATTCACTAGACTATCCTCCCTGCCAATCCAAAGCTCCTCTAAAATTAGGAACATACATAATTTTTTTTTTTTTGAGACGGTATCTCGCACTGTCACCCAGGCTGGAGTGCAAAGGCGCGATCCCAGCTCACTGCAACCTCCGCCTCCCGGGTTCACGCAATTCTCCTGCCTCAGCCTACTGAGTAGCTGGGATTACAGGCGCACGTCACCACACCCGGCTAACTTTTTGCATTTTTAGTAGAGGTGAGTTTCACTATGTTGGCGAGACTGGTCTCAAACTCCTGACCTCGTGATCCGTCCACCTCGGTCCCCCAGAGTGCTGGGATTACTGGTGTGAGCCACTCACCCGGCCAGAAAATACATAATTTATCTCTCCATTGCCAGCACCAGCCCTAGAGTCCAGCACACAAAAGCAACTCCATAAACAAGCATTTGGCCAAACGAAAAAGGAGGAAGATAATTTCTCCAACGAAGTTCTAAGGGTCTGCATGAGACAACTTTATGCAGAAAACATAAAATGATGGAGGCTTCCAGACTTCAGGGCCCGCAGCTGGCAGTGAAGTGCAGTGTAACTGCCCGTCACAGAATAAATACCACGAGGCACGTTTCTGGAGGACCACAGCTTGGGTGAGGGGGTGAGTTCAATTCCCGGAGGAACCCTGAAGAAATGAACGTGGCCACCCTTAGTGTCCAGTCGCCTTTAAACACTGAAAGTCTCTACTTACCCACCACGAAGCTATCCGGAAACTGGTGGCCATCCCCACGTCCACGTCCGTGAGCTGCAAGAGACCTTGAGGGATGCGTCCGCCCGCAGACAGGTGCGGGCCCCGGGCCCCGGGCCCCCGACACCTGACCGTCCCGGGGCTGAGTCGCTCGCAGGGACGCCGGCTCCTCAGCTCTCGCCCAACACGGACCGCGCGTGGCTAGACAGCCTCCCGGTCTGGGTACCAGGAGTCGCACTGATGGATTTGTGCCGCGGCCCTGATTCAGAAGAGCAGGAGTCTATCCTGGCTCCGTCCACGCCCCCGATCGACGGTGGTGTTGAGCTGGTCAAGTCCGTGTCTGCCCAGGATAATCCAAGCCGTTTAGCTCCGGGCCTCGGCGGCCACAGACACTTACGCAGGTGCACCTGCTGGCCAGACTCCGGTCCACTGAGTCTAAGCCGGAAACAGCCCTGCACTAGCGCACCCGACTAAGGCCGGGAGTGAGGCGCACGCGGAAGTGCGTCATGCCTCAGAAGCCAGGACGCGACGGCGCCGGAAAAACTACGTCTCCCACAATCCTCTGAGAAGGTTCCCCTGTTAACCGGCCGGCTTGCAGTTGCAGCGGATCTAGAGTGGGCACCGCGGACGAGAACAGAAAGCTGGAAGAGGGCTCCGCCAGCGGCACCGGGTTCACCCATCCCCCGGCTGCGCCAGGTTTAGTACCAGCCGCGGAGCCCGGACTCCCAGTTTCCCAGGCCCTGTAGAACTGACTCAGAGTCCGACCCCAGCAGAGACGCAGGTGTGCTGAGGTCTTGATATCATACAAGGTAGGTTCAGACCAGAAGGCACAGCAAAAAAGGAGGCTTTGTAAAGCTAAAAGCTGCAATTCATAAGGCTTGGTAACAATTTTGAATATCGGTACACCAAATAATAGAGTAACCAACTTCATAAAGGAGAAACTATAGATGTTAAAGATAGATAAATAGAACCACACCAATAATGAACCTACCTTTGCGGAAAAAGTCTATCAGTGAGAAAATTATAGCAGAGGGGGAGGTCTTAACCTAACCAAACCCCCAACCGCGCGAGCCTTTGGCTTTCAAGTTGCCTTAGTTATTCCTGGGCTTAGGCCAAGCTAACTTTGGAAGACATTTAGATTATAGTTTCAATGATAGTCCTTTTCCAACACTCAGCTGTCTTTGTAAAACCTATGAGAGACCACCAGGCTCGGGGGAGGAGAGGAGCCTGAATTCTGGTAAGGTGTAGATTGGTCACAAGATATACAACCTCCCCAATTAGTCCCACAAATAATACCCCTATTGTAGATTGGCCTATTGAGATTTAAAAATGTGCCAAATGGCCAGGCAAGATGACTCACGTCTATACCAGCACTTTGGAAGGCTGAGGTGGGTGGATCACTTGAGCCCAGGAGTTGGAGACCAACCTGGGCAACATAGCAAAACCTCGTCTCTACAAAACATATCAAAAGTTAGCCGCATACGTGTCCTGCATCTGTAGTTTCAGCTACTTGGGAGGCTAAGGCAGCAGAATTGCTTGAGCGCATGTGGCAGAGGTTACAGTGAACCAAGATTGCACCATCGCACTCCAGCCTGGATGACAGGAATGAAACCCTGTCTCAAAAAAAAAAAAAAAAAAAAAAAAAAAATGCGCCAAACATCTGAATAGATGTTTCTCAAAAGAAGACATACAAATGGCAAACAGGTATACGAGAAGGCACTGAACCTCATTGATCATCAGAGAAATGTAAATGAAAGCTACAATGCGATTTCTTATCCCAGTAAAATGACTTTTATCCAAAAGACAAGCAACAATAAATGCTGGTGAGGATATGGAGAAAAGGGAACCCCTGTACACTCTTGGTGGGATTGTAAATTAGTGTGACCATTATGGAGAACAGTTTAGAGGTCCTCAAAAAAAAAATAAAAAATAGAGCCAGGCTCAGTGGCTTACACCTGTAATCCCAGCACTTTGGGAGACCAAGGTGGGTGGATCATGAAATCAAGAGTTCGAGACCAGCCTGGCCAGTATGTTGAAACCCCGTCTCTACTAAAAATACAAATATTAGCTGGGCATGGTGGCACGCACCCGTAGTCCTAGCTACTCAGGATGGTGAGGCAGGAGAACTGCTTGAACCCAGGAGGCAGAGGTTATAGTGGGCCATGATCACGCCACTGCACTCCAGCCTGGGCAACAGAGTGAGACTCTGTCTCAAAAAAAATAAAAAATAAAAATAGAGCTACCATACGATCTAGAAATCCCACTCCTAGGTATATACCAAAAAGAAGGAAAATCAGTATATCCAAGAGCTATCTGCACCCCCATGTTTATTGCAGTGCTATTCACAATAGCCAAGATTTGGAAGTAAACCAAAGTGTCAATCAACAAATTAATGAATAAAGAAAATGTGGTACATATACAATGGAGTACTAGGAAGCCATAAAAAAGAACAAGATCCTATCATTTGCAACAACATGGATGGAACTGGAGATCATTATATTGAGTGAGATAAGGGAGGCACCGAAAGACAAACTTCATATATTCTCACTTATTTGTGGGCACCAAAAATTAAAACAATTGAACTTATGGTGATAGAAAGTGGAAAGATGGTTACCAGAAGCTGGGAAGGGTAGTGGGAGACTGAGGGGGGATGGGAATGGTCAATGGGTAGAAATACATAAAGAATAAGACTTAGACCTAGTATTTTCTAGCACAACAGGATATAGTCAAAAATAATGATACATTTAAAAATAACTAAAAGTATAATTGGATTTCTTATAGCACAAAGGATAGCTGCTTGAGGATACCACATTTTCCCTGATGTCATTTTTATGCATTGCATAATAATCATTTATAGAAAGTAAAAAGTTCCTCTTCAAAGTTTCCCTTCTTGTTAAAGAATAATAATAATCAATATTAGAAATAAGTTTATTTTAAAGTCTTTCTTCAAAACCTTCTTGCTTTTTTGCTAGTAACTCTTTGTTAAGTCCTATCCTTTGTAGCTGTTAAATATAAGGGAATAAGTATATTCTATATCCTTGTACGTTAACCAAGATATTTGTGCTGGACATGCTCACAGGCACATTCCAGCTCACAGCCTATGCCCCTTCCTTATTTGAAAACGTTACTACTTTTCTAAGCCCTTTCACAAGCAACTTCCTCTTCCCCTTTTGTTCTCCATCACCTTTACCTATTCAGGAGCGTTTTAAGTTGCCAACCAATTGGGTTTAGCTTAGACTGTGAGGTCCAGCTCCAACCAATGGAAATAGGACACAGCAGTGAGGACCCAATGCATAAAGGATAAATATTCCTGCTGTTCAGTGTGTTTTCATGGCAAGATTGCTGATGGACAGCATCATTTCTGCTGAAAGTAAAATTGCCTTGCTGAGAGATTCTTTGTTCCAGTGCTGATTTTTCTTTGCAGCACCAAGCATCTATTTCCAACATTACATTATAATACGCATTTCATATCAAAATATCTCACGTAATCCATAAATATATACACCTACTATATAGTCATGATCATTTAAAATCTTAAAAAAATTAGCCAGGTATGGTGGCATACACCTATAATCCCAGCTACTTGAGAGGCTGAGGCGAAGGAATGCTTGATCCAGAGAGGTTTAGGCTGCAGTGAGCCATGATCCCACCACTGCATTCCAGTCTGGGCAACAGAATGAAACCTGTCTCAAAAAAAGAAATTAATTAATTAAAAATTTTCCCACAGAGAAAATCTGGGAGTGGATGGCTCCACTAGTGAGTTCCATCAAGTATTTAAAGAGGAAAGGATAATTCTTCAGAAATTCTTTCAGAAAATAGATGAGAGGGAATACTTTCCAACTTATTCTGTGAAACCGGTATTATTCTCATACCCGAGCCAGACAAAGACTTCACAAGGGAAAAACAAAACCACACACCAGTATTCCTGTGCTGTCCATAGACATAGACACAAACATCCTTAACAGGCTTGAGAAAACGTTTTTTCTCCTCAAACTGGTTTTGCAGGTGTTTACCCATATGAAAACTTACCAAATTGTTTAAATACATGTAGCTTATTCTATATCAATTATAACTCATTAAAGCTGTTTAAGAAAAATGTTAGCAACCTGAATCTGGCAACATACATACAGGATTTTATAACATGACCAAATGGAATACATACCAAGAATGTTAGATTGGTTCAACACTGAAAATCAGCATAATAAAAGACAAAAACTATATGAATATTTCAATATATGCAGCAAAAGGCATTTAGAAAAACCAACATCTATTCATGGCAAAATTCAACAATCTAGGAATAGAAGGGAATTTCCTCAGCCTGATAATGGGCATTAAAAAAAACACTAGGCCAGGCATGGTGGCTGACTCCTGTAATCCCAGCACTTTGGGAGGCCAAGACTGGCAGATCACGAGGTCAGGGGTTCTGGACCAGCCTAGCAAACATGGTGAAACGCTGTCTCTACTAAAAATACAAAAATTAGCTGGGCATGGTGGCACATGCCTGTAGTCCCAGCTACTGGGGAGGCTGAGGCAAGAGACTCATTTGAACCTGGGAGGCATAGGTTGCAGTGAGCCAAGATCGTGCCACTAGATTCCAGCCTAGGCAACAGAGCAAGACTCCATCTCAAAAAACTTAAAAAAAAAAAAAATTTAAACCCTAGCTAACATCCTATAGAATGGTGAAAGACTGAATGTTTTTCCTCTATCACAGGAAACAAGCAAGGATGTCTGCTTTCAACACTTCTGTTCAACATTGGACTGGATGTTCTAGTTGGTGCAGTCCAGTAAAAGAAAGAGAAGAAAGCATCCAAATTGGAAAAAAACTAAAACTGCCTTTAGTCACAGATGACATAATCCTGTATATAGAAAATTTCACGGAATCACCGGGCGCTGTGGCTCACACCTATAATCCCAACACTTTGGGAGGCCGAGGTGGGTGGATCACAAGGTCAGGAGATCGAGACCATCCTGGCTAACACAGTGAAACCCCATCTCTACTAAAAGTATATAAAATTAGCTGGGGATGTGGCACACACCTGTAGTCCCAGCTACTTGGGAAGCTGAGGCACGAGAATCACTTGAGGCAGAGGTTGCAGTTAGCTGAGCAACAGAGTGAGACTGCCTAAAATGAAAAAAGAAAAAAAAATTCAAGGAATCAATAATAATAGAACTACTGAAACTAATAAATGATATTAGCATGCTCAAAAATTATATGTCTATATACTAGCAGTGAATCTTAAAATGAAGTTGAGTAACCAAGTTCATTCACACTATCAAAAAGAATAATAGTAATAAATGTAATAAAAGAAGTAAAAATGTGGCTGGTGCAGTGGCTCACACCTGTAATCCCAGCACTTCGGGAGGCCGAGGTGGGCGAATCACAAGCTCAGGAGATTGAGGCCATCCTGGCCAACATACTGAAACCCCATCCCTACTAAAAATACAAAAATTAGGGGCCAGGCACAGTGGCTAACACCTGTAATCACAGCACTTTGGAAGGCTGAGACAGGTGGATCACGAGGTGAGCAGTTCAAGAACATCCTGGCCAAGATGGTGAAATCCTGTCTCTACTAAAAATACAAAAATCAGCTGGGTGTGATGGCAGGTGCATGCAATTCCAGCTACTCTGGAGGCTGGGGCAGAGAATTAATTGCTTGATCCCAGGAGGCAGATGTTGCACTGAGCCAAAATCATGCCACTGCACTCCAGCCTGGTGACAGAGCGAGAATCCGTCTCAAAAAAAAAAAAATTAGCTGGGTGTAATGGCGCATGCCTGTAATCCCAGATACTCTGGAGGCTGAGGCAGGAGAATCGCTTGAAAGAAGGAGTCAGAGGTTCCAGTGAGCTGAGATCGTGCCACTGCATGCGAATCTGGTGACAGCAAGAGACTCTGTCTCAAAAAAAAAAAAGCAAAAATGTGTATATTGAAAAGAACAAAATATTGCTCACAGATATTAACAATTATTTTAATATATAAATACATTTTATCTTAATGGATTGAAAGGCTGAATTCTATCAATATGGCAGTTCTCCCCCACATTGATCTATAAATTCAATGCAATTCCTGTCAAAATCCCATCAGACTTTGTGGTTAAAAATTGGCAAGCTGAACCTAAAATTTATAATTACCTGCAAAGGACATAGAATAGCAAAATAATTTTGAAAAAGAATAAAGTTGGGGATGGCCCTTTAGGAGCAACTCAGGATTGCAGCTCCCAGTGAAAGCTCAGAGGGTGAGTGGATGCCACACTTCCAGACAGAACTTAATTGCCCACAGACCAGGAGATTCCCAGGTGGAGGAGCTCCATGGGTCGCCAGCATGGCTGTTTTGGCCAGCGCGGCTGTTTCGGCTGGCCTGGCTGTTTTACCGGCACCCAGGCACAGTGGCTCTCCATACAAAATACACTGGCCTGGTTGCCCTTTTAAGCTGGCAATTGGAGCTCTGGGAAGGCAGATTTGCCCATTCATCTGAATAAACAGGTCTGAAACAGGGAGCCAGGCCAGGAGATTCCTGGGCAGTGCTGTTGTTTCAGCCGGTGCAGTGGGTCGCCACACGGGAAATCACACATATTCCAGTGCCCTTTCAGCAGGCGACTGGAACACCTGGGAGAGAGTCAACCGTTCAACTTAAAAAAAAAAAAGGCTCTGAGGCAGGGAGCCAGGTGATCAGGCTCGGCGGGTCCCACCCCAACAAAAAAACAATAATTGGAAACACTCGGGGTTGAGACTTTCACAGCAAGCACAGCGGAACCCAGGATAGTGCAGCTTGGTGTGGGGTGGCGTCCGCCATTACCGAGGCACTCCACCCCTACCAAGGTAGTCCGCCATTGCTGAGGCAGCCTGCCATTGCCAAGGCAACCCGCTATAATAAAGAGAGTCCGCCATTACAGAGGTGAGCCACAATTGCTGAGGGAGTTCTAATCACACCCATATAAACAGGACAGGGAAGGTCACACAGCAGCAGGGTGGAGACCACAGCAGCTCAGCAAAGCTCCTGCAGGCAGACAGTGACTTGCTGGGCAGGGCAGCCCTGAAAAAAAAAAAAAAAAAAAAGGCAGCAGCACAACTGATACTCATAAATAAAGCCGTAACTCCCCAGGACACAGCACCTGGGGAAAAAAAGGGGGGTATATGAGTTCTGCTACAGAGACTTAAACGTACCTGCCTAGCAGCTCTTAATGAACAACAGAGCTCACAGCTGAGCACTTGAGCTGCTATAAAGAACAGACTGTCTCTTCAAGCAGCTCTCTGACCCCTGTATATCCAAGGAGTCACCTCACAAAGGACTGATCAGACTGACATTTGGCAAGCATCATTCTGGGACAAAGATAGCAGAAGAAGAAACTGGTAGCAACCCTTACTGTTCTGCAGCTGCTGCAGGTGATTACCAGGCAAGCAAGGCCTGGAATGGACCTCAGCAGTCCTACAGCAGAGGGGCCAGACTGTTAGAAGGAAAACTAAGAAACAGAAATAACTTCATCATCAACAATCTGGACATCCACTCAGAGACCCAATCTGAAAATCAGCAACTACACAGACGACAGGTGGACAAATCCACAAAGATGGGAAGAAACCAGTGCAAAAAGGAGGAAAACACCCAAAACCAGAACATCTCTCCTCCTACAAGCGATCACAACTCCTCGCCAGCAAGGGAACAAAGCTGGATGGAGAATGAGTGTGATGAAATGAGAGAATCAGACTTCAGAAGGTGGGTATTCAGAAACTTCCGTGAGCTAAAAGAACATGTTCTAACGCAATGCAAAGAAACTAAAAACCTTGAAAAAAGATTTGATGAAATGATAACAAGAATGGACAACTTAGAGAGGAATATGAGTGAATTGATGGAGCTGAAAAACACAACACGAGAACTTTGCAAAGCATGCGCAAGTTTCAACACCCGAATTGACCAAGCAGAAGAAAGGATATCAGAGGTCGAAGATCAACTCAATGAAATACAATGAGAAGGCAAGATTAGAGAAAAAAGCACAAAAAAGAATGAACAAAGTCTCCAAGAAATGGGGGACTATGACTATGTGAAGAGACCTAATCTATGTTTGATAGGTGTACCTGAATGTGACGAAGAGAATGAATCCAAGCTGGAAAATACTCTTCAGGATGTTATCCAGGAAAACTTCACCAACCTAGCAAGGCAGGCCAATATTCAAGTCCAGGAAATACAGAGAACACCACAAAGATATTCCTCAAGAAGAGCAACCTCAAGGCACATAATAATCAGATTCACCAGGGTTATAATGAAGGAGAAAATGCTAAGGGCAGCCAGAGACAAAGGTCGGGTTACCCACAAAGGGAATCCCATCAGACACACAGCAGATCTCTCAGCAGAAACCCTACAAGCTAGAAGAGAGTGGGGGCCAATATTCAACATCCTTAAAGAAAAGAACTTTCTTTCACACCAGAATTTCATATGCAGTCAAACTAAGCTTCATAAGTGAAGGAAAAATTAAATCCTTTGTGAACAAGCAAGTACTCAGAGATTTTGTCACCACCAGGCCTGCTTTACAAGAGCTCCTGAAAGAGGCACTACACATAGAAAGGAACAACCAGTACCAGCCACTCCAAAAACATACCAAATGGTAAAGAGCATCAACAAAATGAAGAATCTGCATCAACTAACGGGCAAAACAGCCAGCTAGCATCAAAATGGCAGTATCAAATTCACACATAACAATATTAACCCTAAATGTAAATGGACTAAATGCACCAATCAAAAGACACAGACTGGCAAATTGGATAAAAAAACAAAACCCATCACTATGCTGTATCCAGGAAACCCATCTCACATGCAAGGATACACAAAGGCTCAAAATAAAGTGATAGAGGAAGATTTACCAAGCAAATGGAGAGCAAAAAAAACAGGAGTTGAAATTCTCGTCTCTGATAAAATAGACTTTAAAGCATCAAAGATCAAAAAGAGACAAAGAAGGACATTACATAATGGTAAAAGGATTGATACAACAAGAAGAGCTAATGATCCTAAATATATCCGGACCCAATACAGGAGCACCCAGATATATAAGGAAAGTTCTTAATGACTTACAAAGAGATCTAGACTCCCACACAATAATAGTGGGAGACTTTAGCACTACACAGTCAATATTAGACCAACCAGAAAGAAAATTAACAAGGATATCCAGGACTTGAACTCAGACCTGGAACAAGCAAACCTGATAGACATTTACAGAACTCTCCACCCCAAATCCACAGAATATACAGTCTTCTCAGCACCACATCACACCTACTCTAAAATTGACCATATAATTGGAAGTAAATCACTCCTCAGCAAATGCAAAAGAACAGAAATCATAACAGTCTCTCAGACCACAGTGAAATAAAGTTAGAACTCAGAATTCAGAAACTAACTCAGAACCGCACAGCTTCAAGGAAATTGAACAACTGGCTCTTGAATGTTGACTGGATAAACAATAAAATGAAGGCAGAAATAAAGAAGTTCTTTGAAACCAACTACAACGAAAACACAACATACCAGAATCTCTGTGAAACATTTAAAGCAGTCTCCAGAGGAAAATATATAGCAGTAAGTGCCCACATGAGAAGAGTGGAGAGTTCCAAAATTGACACCCTATCATCAAAATTGAAAGAGCTAGAGAAGCAAGATCAAAAAAACTCAAAACCTAGCAGAAGACAAGTAATAACTAAGATTGGAGCAGAACTGGAGGAGATAAGAGACACGAAAAACCCTTCAGAAAATCAATAAATCCAGGAGCTGGTTTTTTGAAAAGTTCAACAAAATAGACAGACCATTAGCCATATTAATAAAAAAGAAAAGAGAGAATACCCAAATAGATGCAATAAAAAATGATAAAGGGGCTATCACCACAGATCCCACAGACATTCAAACCATCATCAGATAATATTACAAACAACTCTATGCACATAAACTAGTAAACCTGGAAGAAATGGATAAATTCCTGGACACTTGCATCCTCCCAAGCCTAAACAAGGAAGAAGTCGAAACCATGAATAGACCAATAACAAGATCTGAAGTTGAGGCAGCAATTAAGAGCCTACCACACAAAAAAAGCCCAGGTCCAGATGGGTTCACAGACATATTCTACCAGACACACAAGGAGGAAATGTTACCATTGCTTCTGAAACTATTCCAAATAATCCAAAAAGAGGGAATCCTTCCCTAATCATTTTATGAGACCAACATCATCTGGACACCAAAACCCGGCAGAGACTCAACAAGAAAAGAAAACTTCAGGCCAATATCCATGATGAACATAGATGCAAAAATCTTCAATAAAATACTGGCATGCCGATTGCAACAGCATATCAAAAAGCTTATCCACCATGATCAAGTAGGATTCATTCAGGGATGCAAGGCTGGTTCAACATACACAAGTCTATAAACGTAATTCACCACATAAACAGAACCAAAAACCAAAACCAAATGATTATATCAATTGATGCAGAGAAGGCCTTTGACAAAATTCAACAGCCCTTTATGCTAAAAACCCTCAATAAACTTGGTATTGATGGAACATATCTCAAAATAATAAAAGCTATTTATGACAAACCCATGGCCAATATCATACTGAATGGGCAAAAACTGGAAGCATTCCCTTTGAAATCTGCCACTAGACAAGGATGCCCTTTCTCACCACTCCTATTGAATATAGTACTGGAAGTTCTAGCCAGAGCAATCAGGCAAGAAAAAGAAATAAAGGGCATTCAAATAGGAAAGGAGGAAGCCAAATTGTCTCTATTTGCAGACTACATGATTGTATATCTAGAAGATCCAATCGTCTCAGCCCCAAATCTCCTGAAACTGATAAGCAACTTCAACAAAGTCTCAGGATACAAAATCAATATGCAAAAATCACAAGCATTCCTATACACCAATAACAAACTTAAAGAGAGCCAAATCAAGAAACACTGCCATTCACAATTGCTACAAAGAG